TCCCATATTATTATTATTTTAAGCTCTGTGTTTTCCTGCTAACAGATGCATACTGAAAGTGACTCAGTTACTGTAATGAAGTTCAGCATCTCTGTATGGCAAGCACACCAACTGTATGGAAATTAGTTTTAATTATATATTGTGTTTAGCTACTTCTTCAGTCAACAAAGTGTAAATATTTTGAATAAATCAACGTGGATTCTTTGCTAAACAAAATGGTGAAGGGGAACGCGAGAAAGGCAGAGAGCTCTGATGTTGCTCCTGGGATCTATTGGAGCCACATGTCATATATGTCCACATGCCCACAGTCATATATGTATCAGTTTTGAACTTCTTTATTACAGCATATTTAACACCCTCTCTTTTTACCTTTGTTTCCTTTTTCCCTTTCACATTTACTACATCTTTATTTGAAAGTACTTATTATATATGTAAAATCTTTTAATAAAAACTGCATTAGAAAAAATAAAAAAAATACACTAAAAATCAAAGCTCATAACAATCACATTAAATTTATACTTTTTAAAACATGAAGGCTTAAATTGCCTGAATTACACAAGAACTTTAAAAAAGAAGAATCCTAGTAAATATACCTATCTGGGAAAATTGTTCCAAAACTTGGAACAAAGGCCCTGTTCCTATTATTAACTGTCTCATATTGGAATATCAACCTCTCTTTCAGCCTTATTAGGGTTAGTGTTAAATTTGTAATAATGTAAGAAAGTTGTTTTTGACCCACCTTTCCCAATAAAACGCTTATTCAGGTATGCCCGAGCTAATATAACCCTAATTCAAGAAGTTACAGTCTTTAAAAATCTGGTAGGCTGCTGTTTAGGCAGTGTTTCTCAAACATGACAACTTTAAAATGGATGGACTTCAACTCCCTGGCTGGCTGGGGAATTCCAGAAGTTGAAATCACATCTTAAAAATTAAAAGTTTGAGAAACACCAGCTTAAGGAATATCATTCTAAAGCAACTTTCTTGCACTACCCAAGTCCTAACTTGTAGGTCTTGATTCTCTAGGACAAGTTGAGGCTAGTGGGCACATTTGGCATTTTTGGAAACTGGGATTTTCAACACATTTGGAGTTTTTGAAAGCCCTGCAGGTCAGGGTTTGCCCAATTCCAAAATGGCACCAGAATTCTATCTGCCATTCCTTCTAGTTCGCCATCATACAAACTTGTATATCTGCTTTACCTTCATCCTTTTTGTGGCCAGGTGGATACAGATTTGAAACAGCAGCCATGTCTAATATTTATTTTCTAAAAAAAAAAAGCAATGGAACAAATTTGGGGCCCATATGCGCTCTTGAAGGTGAAGTTAAACAGAAATCTTAATATAAACTACAAACATATTAACAGATGTTTTTTTTAATGCACAAATAAGGGGAAGGGGAATCAAAGAAGTTCTTGGTGATCATGTTGGCACCGTGTTATATTTTGAGCTCTGATAAGCCTTGTATTGTAAACTGTGTCTGGGCATAGTTGGAAAGTTCATTCTAAAACATGCAGGCAATTTTTTTTTGAAGAAAACTGACAGGATGACATTTTTTACGGCACATAATAAATAACCTAGACCACATGTGTAAATAGCATGCCTGGTATATCTTCTTAACACAAATTTATAACTTGCTCTTGTTTCCATTTATTTTACTTCCTCTCCTTTGCTCTTCAAATGGTCATAAAAGATAAGTGCACGGCTGTACTCCTATTATTGAGGCATCTGCCAGCATAAATTATACAAATAAGCTAAAGAGGATTCTAGCCTGTGCTGGAATATGATGGACTAAGGACCAAAATGCTTTGCCAGCACAGTTAATTTTGCACTATTTATCTGTCTCTTATTTCACAGTATTGCATATCATGTGGGTAGGGAAAAGTTAGATTTGCAGACCTCCCATCAATATATATACATATTGTCATGCTTAAACCTGAAGTAGTTCCTACTTGTGTTGGCCAGGAATGCTAAAATCTGCTATAGACACCTGTACATTTAGTACTATGTTGTAGGACTATATGATTGTTTTTGACATTCTGGCTTTATTTGAGTAATTCATTGTCCCAGGAGCACTTTGGTTCATGAATCAGCTCTTCTTGGAATCACTGTTTGCACTCCAACTGCAAAGTTATCTTAAATGGTAACCCCCAATTCTTTCCCTTGTTGGCATTATGAGAACTACTGGCATTCAGAGGGGGCATAAAGTCTTTACTTAATTTATTTTTTTTGCTATATTTTATATCCTAACTTTCCTTAAAGAACTCAGTGTAACAAGACCTACCTCCAGTTTCCCCCCACTACATCAAAACTGAAAGACTGGGCTAAAAGATATCAACCCAACGTCACTCAGTAACCGCAGCTAAAGGTGTCTTGAACCCAAGTCTTCTCATTCTTCACCACATCGTTTATAAAAGTACTGCATCTAAGCCAGTGGTTCTCAACCTGTGGGTCGGGACCCCATTTGGGGTCGATCAACCATTTCATGGGGGTCGCCAAGCAAGGCTGTCCGCCATTTTTTTTGTCCGCCATTTTTTTCCCCTTTTCCGGCGGGTGCCTTACCTCCCTTGGGCTGGGCCAGCTGGTGGTCGGCCTGCTCCGTCTCTGCCGCTTGTCAGCTACGCCTCGGGTGGCGCAGGGGGCGGAACCACGCATGTGCGGCACTCCCGGGCAGGGAAAGTTCTCGACTTAATGACCGGTTGGGTAGTCCTCGACTTACGACCAGTTTAGTCCTCGACTTACGACCGGTTGGGGTCGCGGCATTAAAAAGGTTGAGAACCACTGATCTAAGCAGTGCTAGCCATATCAGGTTTTTATCTTGTGTTCTTTAAGAGTGAACATTCTGTGGGATCCAATTTGGATCACCGGGACCAGAGGTTTAGTCTTCTGAGCTTTCAGATTTGTGCTGGAGTCCATCCTCGGAGAACTTCTCCCACCAGAATGTGTCCCTTTCACATTCCGGTGAGGGAGAAATTCCCTGAGAATGGGCTCCCGCACAAGTCCGACAAGTCAGAAGACTAGAGCTCTGGTCTTGGTCATCCAAATTGGATCCTGCAACATTATCCTGGGACATGTATATTTGCCTTCATCCGTGAGTGAATATTCTCTTCCTTTCTATATAAGCATTTGCGTCATCCTTAAAAATATTCAGGTGACTGCAGCCTGATGGACATATTGAGCTTAGTAGCAGAATTAGAGGCTGTCCTTTACTGTTTCACTCACATAGTTATAGCTTAAGTTCTGCCCTGAATGTTTTTGAATGATTACTAACTGCTCTTTGCTCAGTTTTCTAGAGTACATTCTCTTTATTTCATCAACAATACTTTCTCTTATGGCTTTTTAGATGGCACCAATTTAAAGCTGGTATCCCCATTTTCTTGCTCCCATTTGTGGACTTTTTCCCTTTGGGATGCTGGCTTGAGGATGCAAAATCCTGAGACTCCTCTGTGTGACAAATACTCATCAAAAGCCTAATCAAACTCTTTATTTTTCTTTTTTTCCTCTTTGCTTCTGGCATCACATTTCATCACAGAAGGCAAGAGGATAGCTGGCAATTCAGCATGAAGTATGTAAAGACAAACAAAAATCCTGTTTCAGTATTTTTACTTAACTTTTCTTTGCCTTTTAAAGAAACCTAGAATTCCCCTTTTATGGGAATGCAATTTCAGATCCCCTCATCTTAGCTAGCTGGATTTGCTCCATTCTCCCTTGGCCTTGAAAATCTCTGCTGCCATTTGATATACACACTTGAAATTCCTCTACGTCCAGAGCGTGTTGGGTGGAGGTTCTGGAAATTCACCCCTTTGTTGTGTAAACCCCTGAGGAATGATGGTTCTAATTAATATCTGACTAATTGAAGCACTTGGAGGACTTAGTCATATACCTTCAGATATTCTCACTAGGCTAGCTTTGTCTCAAGGCGACTACCAGTTGTTGTGATGCAAGGAGGAAATTAGCAGTTCTTGATGCAACAAGCTTCTGTCCTCACAAGTGATTTTTTTTCTCCTCCCCTTTGCTGATCTCACCGTTATATTTTGCCCTATCCCCCCAGCTGTGCCTATGTAACTGTGTGCTGCTTTCTGTGTGCGTCACTTACTGTAGTGTCTCTAGCTTGCACCTAAATGTGGAGCATTTCTTCCAAATGTGCCTGCTGGCTTGGCAGAGTTCTAGCTTTTTGGAAACAAATCAAACAACTTTGGCTGCCAAGCTGAGACATTCTGACATGCTGGAGGTGGCACAGATTTTGATAATTGAAATATTATAAAAACAGTAATTTGGCTGAACCTCAATCAATTAAATACTGTTTCTTGTTTTGCTTTCTTGTGTTGCATTCTTTTCTGAGCTGATTGATGCATATTCTACCTGTTTCTGCATTCATGTTAATTATCTGCAGTGCTGCATAACTAGAAACAGCAGTGCTAGTACATCCAGCTTTAATAACTAAATCTTGACCATCGCATATAAAATGCAAAAGAACCATGCCGTTAAAGGAAAATATTTTTGATAAGGAGGGAGGGAAAGTTAACGAATCCTCCATGCTCCCTCTTTCTTCTCTTCTGTTGATGTTGTTTCTTTTTACCTGCCAAGACTACAATTTTTATCCTGAAGCAGGAACTAGGCAAACCGTGGCACTCAGCCCAATTTCTGAACTGTCTGTAAGTTATCAGATCTCTGAAAGAAGCCTCTCCCAAGCCGTTGTGGCTATTTCTCAGCACGCTAGAAGTTGAAGTCAGCACATCTGAAAGTTGCTCACTCTGGGGACGAGGAGATGAAAGAATTATTTCCTGCTCTTAAGCCTAGAAGGAGGCAATTGATGAAGCGTGTAAGAAGCATAAAACAAAAATATTTAATGTTACCTCTTATTTAAATGTATCCAGCCTAGCCTTCATCCCAGGATCAATTTGGAGTGTGATAAAATACTGTGGTTTTTTTTTTCAAATCTTCTTGCTAATTGTTATAATGCTACTAGACTTGTCACACTCATTTGGTTCCCTTTCCCTTTTCAGTTTGGCAGGACTGAAGTCATTGACAACACCTTGAACCCCGACTTTGTGCGGAAGTTCATCCTTGATTACTTTTTTGAAGAGAAGCAGAATTTGCGCTTTGATCTGTGAGTGACATATTTCTTGATCTTCTAGAGACTGAGCATGTGAAGGGAAGATCAGTGTGCACCCATAAGACTTATCCATTTGGCTGTATCCCGTAATTGGTGAGATTCTGTGAAGCATACAGTATGCCAGTGCTTTGCCTTATCAGGGGGTGCTCTGAAAACAACAACAACATGTGCAATGAGATCCAAAGGGAGGGTCTCTTTATTCTGAGCTCCAAGGGCAGCAATAATTCTATGCACATGAAAGGCAGAGTTTTCAGCGGGTTCCAAATTTTGTGAATATAATACATTGCATTCAACATTTTTATCTTCATTTTTCCCCCAATGTCATGCTAATCTCATTAGCATAGGGTTATGTTTCAACATCTGAATGATGCAAGGGGAGCAGGTTAGAAGGAAATTAAGACACATATATTTGGGTCTATTTTATGCCGACATTAAACTTATATAATGTCAGTGTAAAATAGACCCAAATGTAGGTGTCTTAATTTTTTTCTGACCTGCTCCCCTTGCATCATGCAGATGTTGAAACATAACCCTTGCTAGATATCCTTTGGGCCCTGTGCTAGACATAGGAAATATTCTGCTGCTTCATTGACAAATCACTGCATACTAATTTAACAATTAATAAAATATTAGCCCATTGATTTCTTAAGACAGAATATTCCAACTCATTACTCTAAATTATCTACAAATTACCCCATATCTATCTTAATACATCATTTCACTTATATATAAATTAACTATAGGTTTAGCAACTTTGAGAACATTTCCAATGACATCAGTAGTTTAGGAAGTTCAGAAATAACTATTACTTCAGACCCAATACACCTCCAAATATACTGTAATCCAACAAGCAATGACCAAACAGTCTTAGATAATCCAAAATGGGGTGTATTTTTGACAAACATTGAGGGTTTTTGAAGAAATTATTAACAGTAACCGGGTTCAAATATTGTTACCTTTTTTTGTCCATGATTTCCACAATAATTATTTACCAGCAATCTTCAGGTTAGATTTTCCCATAATGTCAATTTCTCATGAGAGTTGGATCAGATTTTAATTTCCTTCCCAATATATAAATCTTGAAACTTTTAATGTGAGAAAACCAATTAAAACAGAAATCAAAATGTTGCCAAAATATAGGTAGGCAAGGTAATAGCTTTCTAATTGTTCCCAAAATAGTTTTTGAGATAAATCAGTTGAATTCCAAAAGCAGTATAGGTCACAATATATGCCCAATGGTATAATTGAAAATTGACAAATTAAAATTCCCATATTCAGAGAAAAGTAATTCTAATATAGTAAGTCTATGAGTCTGATAACGCCATGAAAGTTTTCCAGTATTCTATCAATCTAGTTAAAACACTTTACAAATATTAACATAGGATTCCTTCTAATAATATACATCAATTTTGGACTTATTTTTATATTGATATTTATTCTTCCCCATAGACGCCAGGAGATTTTACACTGTTTGTTTATATCAGTATTAATCTGAGATAAGCAACTGGGAACTATTAACCTAGTTCAACAAAGAAATCTAGGAATAATTATTCCAAGATATGTAAATGAATTCAAACAAAATATGAAGCTACATTTTTTCAAATATTCATTGAAACCTTAGAACCAGTAAACAGTATATTAGATCTCTCCTGATTAATGGAGCAACTTGAAAATGTTTACCAAAGTATTGTACTATAAATGGAATCCATAAATATTGGTTAAGAACATTGGTAGTTATCAGCAAAGGATACAGTCTCATCAGCATGTAATAATAATTTATATTTATCATCCCTTCAAGGTTGGCAAGGTAAGGAAACAGGGGCAGCAGGGATTTCAGGAGTTCTCTTTATTGTTATAGGGTAGCATAACAAAATATTGAAAACCTGTCCAATTTTTTTTTTCTACCACACTTTTATACCAACCAAAATCAAGACAGGGTTCTTTTGAGTTTCTTTCTCACACTTTTCCTCTTTTTTTGTTCTAAGTGATTTTTTTTTCTCCTCCCTTAAGAGTTTTTTACTCCTTCCGAATGCAGATCTTTCTTTCACAATGTTCCATTTCCACTAATCTGGTCCCTGGAATATTCTTAGATATTTATGTAGAGGCCAATAGTTCCAACATCACATTAAATAAAAATAAAAGTAAAGAAAAGTATTAAAATAAACACTCTTGATTAATTCCTCACAGTATTCTAATAGGTAAAGGAATAATTCCAGTTGCGATAACCCTTATTATGGGCTAGAGAACCACACTTTACTCCAATTTTTTAAAATTTGAAGGGAAAACCAAATATAGGTAGCCCTTGATTTACTAGTACAATCAAGCCCAAAATTTCTGTTGTTAAGCAAGATAGTTGTTAAGTGAGTTTTGCCCCATTTTACGACCTTTCTTGCCATGCTGTTAAGTGAACCACTGAAGTGGTTAAGTTAGTAACACAGTTAAGTGAATCTGGCTTCTGCACGGACTTTGCTTGTCAGAGGGTTGCAAAAGGTTATCACATGACCCTGGGACACTGCAACCGTCATAAATATGAACCAGTTGCCAAGCATCCAAATTTTGATCATATTGACCATAAGGATGCTGCAATGGTCATAAGTATGAAAAATGGTCATAAGTCACTTTTTTCAGTGCCGTTGTAACTTTGAATGGTCACTAAATGAATGGTTGTAAGTCAAGGACTACTTGTATAGCCAAAACATCTACAAAGTTAATCTGCACCATATCAAAAATCTTCTTGATATTCAATGAAACAAGTGCCATCAAATCCAATGTATCTAACTGCATATCAATTACATCCACCAATTATCTAATACTGTCTATTGCTTGGCATCATTTAAGGAAAACAGATAGTTCCAGATGAGGTCTCAAAGGTTGTATACGTTATAGTCTATAGGCCAAAGATTTGTCAATATTGTAGCATCCACTGTTAACAAAGGAGTTAATCTATTCATTCTGTAGTATTGAACTTAGCTTCAAAAGTATAGTTATAAATAGAAGAGGAAAAAAACTGTACGAAAAAAGGATTTTTATATTCATGCATTCAACAATATAGAAGGGGAGGGAAACAATGAATATCTTACAGCTAAGTTCTCAAATTTGGACTGTTACAAATGATGCCTTCCTATCTTGTGCAAAAACGCCTTGGCATTGTTTAAGTCTTAGTAAATATATATGAACTATTGCTAAAAGAGATTCACTTTGCAATTTTGTGGCAAACCATTCTCCTTGTATCCTTGGAATGAACATCCTCCAAATAACTATCCTTTATTTTATCATCCAGTAATATTTTATTTCAGTATCTATTAGTGAATGATGACTGTTAATCATTCAATGGAACCCTCAATGGAAGTGCATCTATGTGGAGGGAAGTGTGTAGTGGGGTGCTCCAGGGCTCTGTTCTGGGCCCAGTGCTCTTCAACATCTTCATCAATGATTTGGATGAGGGGATAGATGAGGAACTCATCAAATTTGCAGACGGCACCAAGCTGGCAGGAATAGCCAACATTCCAAAAGATAGGCTTATGATACAGGAGGATCTTGACAGACTTGAACATTGGGCACTATCTAACAAAATGAAATTCAATGGTGAAAAAAGTAAGGTTCTACATTTAGGCAAGAAAAACCAAATGCACAGGTACAGTGCAGGGACCTCGGAGTCTTAGTGGACAATCATTTAAATATGAGCCAGCAGTGTGCTGCAGCTGCCAAAAAAGCCAACACAATGCTAGGCTGCATTAATAGAGGGATAGAATCAAGATCACGTGAAGTGTTAATACCACTTTACAATGCCTTGGTAAGGCCACACTTGGAATACTGCATCCAGTTTCAGTCACCACGATGTAAAAAAAGATGTTGAGACTCTATAAAGAGTACAGAGAAGAGCAACAAAGATGATTAGGGGACTGGAGGCTAAAACATATAAGGAACGGTTGCTGGAATTGAATGAAGAGAAGGACTAGGGGTGACATGATAGCAGTGTTCCAATATCTCAGGGGTTGCCACAAAGAAGAGGGAGTTTAACGAAGAGAAGGACTAGGGGTGACATGAAAGCAGTGTTCCAATATCTCAGGGGTTGCCACAAAGAAGAGGGAGTCAAGCTAATCTCCAGAGCACCTAAGGCAGGACAAGAGCAATAGATGGAAACTAATCAAAGAGAGAAGCAACCTAGAACTAAGGAGAAACTTCCTGACAGTTAGAACAATTAATCAGTGGAACAGCCTGCCTTCAGAAGCTGTGAATGCTCCAACACTGGAAGTTTTTAAGAAGAGACTGGGCAGCCATTTGTCTGAAATGGTATAGGGTTTCCTGCCTGAGCAGGGGGTTGGACTAAATCACCTCCAAGGCCCCTTCCAACATCATCATCGTCATCATCATCATCATGTAATAATATTGAAAAATTTAACCACATTCATCATTATTTGCAGTAATGTTTATTACTATTATTATTATTATTATTATTATTATTATTATTATTACTACTACTACTACTACTATTATTATTATTATTTCTCAATATCCTCTTTTCTACCTTAGTGACCACAAGAGCTCTGAGTCTTCAGGGAAATTCCCAGTTCTACCTACTTCATATAGAACAATGCAATATAAACAAAGAAAGATTCAACCCAGAACACATCCAATGCTCAGCTTCTGAAAGTTTCCCAAACTCAGGGTCCTCCAGGAGATATTTGGAAGTCTATAGGCATCCTCTATTTGTTAAATGAGTCACATTTAATAGCATTTGATAATTAAAAAGATAATGGAATTACGTGAAAAGTATTACGTGTCTAGGTAATTTGTTTTTAATATAGAATGATAGCTCAGAATTTCTCAACATCAGTCAGGAGATAGGAGTAGAGGTCTCAGAAAACAGCCTGTCCTCCGTTTTTTTATCCCGCTCTTTCATCAATCTCCAAGAAGATCAAGACCACTTCACAGGTTCACCAGGGAGTCCATACTTAAAGACACACATAGGATAAAGGATTTAGGAGTTGGAACTTTTACATTCCAAGAGCCTATCCAGATTAGGTGAGAAATGAAACCTCCCTGGAGGACATATGCTCAGATTGAAGAAGCTACTTGGATAAGTGAAACATTTTAAACCAACAAGAAAAGAAGTCCAGTTGCCATGACTCAACTTCTAGACAACTCTACCTGGATGATTGAGAATCTTCATCGACATCAATCCAGGGATATTAATATTTCTTACAGCATTCAATCCTTATCATATTCCATCAGCTGTACTCTTATTTCCATTTGTTTGATTTGCCATTTTTTTCTAATCTACTTCTTCCAGATGCTTTCAACTTCAACTGGCATAATCTAGCAATATTATCTTTTAGATATGGATATGGGAGATGAAGTCTACAAATAATTGGAGAACACTATTTTAAGTAACGGACAGGGAAAAGGATTCTGCTGTAACAGCAAAAACCTAATCTTAGAAACCCATGCGGAAGAAGTCAAAATCTTGCTCTCCAAACTGTTTCCTTCTTCATAGATATTGTACAATGTCCCTGTTGTGCAGGTTTTGCAAAAGAGAAATACCAAGATTCTATATGATTGAAATGCAATGTGTGATCTCTGCTTCTTCCCTGCAGTTATGATGTGGATTCCAAGAGTCCTGACCTATCCAAACATGTAAGCTAAGTATACATTTTCTTCTTCATTTACATGGTATTCTTGAGATACTCTTTGATCCATTGTTTTGCCTATAATTCAGTACATCATATTCACGTAATGCAGACATGTCAAACACAAGGCCCGGGAGCCAGATGCGGCCCGCGAAGTGGTTTCATGTGGCCCGCAAAGCCATCCTGGAAACAGTGAGGGAACGGCCCCCTCTGCCTTGGCCCTGGCCCAGGCCAGCCGGGAGCCAATGTACAATTTTGTGGTGTCCATCTATGCTGAAACGCATTCAGTCTTAGCTCCATAAGCTCCCCCCCCTGCATGGCCTGAGAGGAACAGTGAGGCTCCTCCAGTGGACCATGCCTTGGCACTTGCCCTGGTCCCATCCCCTTCTGCCAGAGACCCTCAGATCTGTCCCACTCCTGCCCAGGCACCCACAGGCACCCTTGACATAAACGATGTAGAGCTGGCCACACCACCCAGTAGCCACACCCACTCAATCCACGCCCATCCAGTAAGCTGCACCCACCCTGGCCACACCCACCCGACCCCCTGAGGGCAACCGCAATGCTGATGTGGCCCTCAATGAAATTGAGTTTGACACCCCTGATGTAATGCAATAAGCCAGAATTGTAAAAAAAGAAAAACCCTTTGATTGATCACTCATATGATAGATGCTCTACAGGCTTTTGGTTGCTTCCACTTAGCTATATCTTTCATTGAGAGTGCCACAAATTAGCCTGGATCACTATCTGTGTTTTGTTTAGAGTTGTGTGCAAATCAAGATTTCTGATTTGTTCTTCTCTTACAAGCTAGAGTCTAAAACTATGTTTTTCTCTTAGCTTCTGGTTCTGTTTTTCCAGAAATAAATAAACCGGTTCACATAAACTTGGTTCACATTTAACTCTAAATAAACCATGGACTGAGTCATCCAGGTTTCATAAGTCACTCCCATTAAGAATGGGAGCCAAGTGTAATTATGAATTGGATAGGAGCATATTATTTATTAAGTTAAACTTCTTTACAGATTTAGTTTACCATGTGAAGCTTCCTGATATTGGCTTAATCTATTTAACTATTATGCATTGGATAATAACACCAATTGTGATTGAATGCAGTTGGCTAGGAATATTGGCAGAGATGTTTGCTACCAGACTTGACTAAACTAAAGATACTAAGCTAGATTGCTATGGAGTTACAATTGCTTCAAATCCAGGCAGCATCACATATACTTGCAGATGCCCCCAAATTATTTAATACACGTTTGTGTGAGATTATATAAAATGGCTGAAACATTGCAAAATTGACAAATCACAAAAAGGTTTTACCAACCGCACCTAGAGATCTCCCTCAAGAATCCTAAAATCTTGGTCATCTTCCATTAAAAATGGGGAGAAAAATTCAAATTTCAATCTTCTTGCTTCAATATCTATAAGAACTTATGTAAGAACAACAAACAAAAAGATTATTTTTAAAAATTATTTTAATAGACTCATTTCAAAATATTGTGTTTAGTTGTGGGGTACCACAAATGCCATATACATGTACTGCAGGAACTTTGATGCTTATGGGGACTGAATCTGGGTCTTTCAGAATGCAGTCTATGCACTGTAATCCTTTGAATAAAGGTTTTTCTAAGTTGTGAAATATTGCTAAAACTGCATTTTATTTCTGTATGTTCTACACATACTTTGGTTCATTCTGTTGCTTTATCCTGAATTACTATAATGTTTTACATTTCAAGTAAGTAAAAAACTCCAAAAAAGTGTATAGTGAATCTCAGTTTTTATTTTTGCTAACTACTTAAAACATGTATAAGTAATTTTGATAGGTACTCATTGCAAAGTGTAGGCTTATGGGGTGACAGCGTAAATTATAATAAATTGGCATGATCAAGTTATGCTGGAGAAAAAAATACCAGCCTATTTTTTAAATCTTCTGTTTTACTAACATTACTAGCAGATTTAATTTATGAGAATATGACAGTCAAAATGATCTCAACTATGCTGCATTCTGGATCTACAGAACAGAATCAAGAATGCCAGAGGCTGAAGCACCTATTGCACCTGGGCAGACATTGACTAGGCCAGGGGTGTCAAACTCGCAACGTCACGTGACGTGTCGCGACGTATCGTGATTTTTTTTTGCCATTGCCGGCAATGGGGTGGGCGTAGTTTCGCTATGATGCATCCGGCCTGCGGGCCGGCAGTTTGACACCCCTGGACTAGGACTGAGCCTGATATATAATGTCCTTGTTCCATGCAATTATCCTGATGCTACTCTCTTTCCACCAGCCTGATTTTTTTAAATTCAGCAATGTTTTTAACTCAGTACATATTAAAGATGTACTGTGGCCAGATTCATAAATTCCTAGCTACTTAGTCCCAAATGTCTGTTGTGAGAACTGTAGAAAGGAGGTACATGAGTTGACTGAAGGACTGTTCTTCTCCGTAAATTAACCAGAACAGAAGTTGAGTTTTTAATAATGTCTTGCCTTCAGTCTCTAGAAGGAGGGGAAAGCCCTGCTAGGAGGAAAACTTTCATAACATTCATGTCAATTTCTTTCATCAGGATTTCCTTGGTCAAACATTCTGCACTCTGGGGGAGATTGTCGGATCACCAGGAAGTCGCTTGGAGAAGCCTTTGATGTGAGTGTCTAGTCCAGTGGTTCTCAACCTGTGGGTTGGGACCCCATTTGGGGTCGATCGACCATTTCATGGGGGTTGCCAAGCAAGGCTGTCCGCCATTTTTTTTGTCCGCCATTTTTTTCCCCCTTTTCCGGCGGGTGTCTTACCTCCCTTGGGCTGGGCCAGCTGGTGGTCGGCCTGCTCCGTCTCTGCCACTTGCCAGCTATGCCTCGGCCGGCGCAGGGGGCGGAACCACGCATGCGCGGCGCTCCTGGGCAGGGAAAGTCCTTGACTTATGACTGGTTGGGTAGTCCTTGACTTACGACCAGTTTAGTCCTCGACTTACGACCGGTTTAGTCCTCAACTTACGACCGGTTTAGTCCTCGACTTATGACCGGTTGGGGTCGCGGCATTAAAAAGGTTGAGAACCACTGGTCTAGTCAATGTCAACTGCGATGCCTTTAGTGGGCCTTCCAGCTTTTCTTCTTATTCTGCAATGGGTTCATTCTATCACACCTAGTGATGCGTAAGGCATACAATGAGATTTTTAGATAAATCCTATCAAAAAGGTAGACTAAAGATTAATTTAACTTTGGGTAAAACCAGCAATCAGATATTAGCTTCTTTCCCATTCGTTATTATGTCTATGTCAGCTTTCCCCAACCTGATGCTCTCCCTAGATGAGCATGGAATTACATAAATAGTGGGTCACTATTTATGCATGAAGAAAAGCCAAATAAAAAGACCACATGTCATAAATTCTTCTCAAGTTTGTGAAAGTCAGTATGTAATATTTTGTTCTAAACCTAAACACACTGAAAATAAAGTCACCAAAACAATTTAGTCATTTACACATGTTTAAAAATAGTAAATACAAAAGTCTATTTTTTTATCTCTAGTGAATTTGGGTTCACATATATGAACCTCAGAGAAGGTCTATATCTTGAATCTTTTCTCCTATTTCTCGTATATGTAATTTGCGTACTTTATAACTTTTTATATTCCCTCTCAGATGCATTAATATTCATCTCAAGGACATCTGCTTTTTACTGAATTTACCATCTGCATTAGCTTGTTTTAGAACTAGCTCTGTTACTTAATTTTTCTTCATTTTGTAGAGAAATATAATTGTGTTTTTTAAAAATTCAGTATAGCACTCCAGTTTTGAAAAATTATTTTTAGTGTTGATTCTATAGGTCAAATGGATTTGCAGCTAATTCCAGCTTCAATTTTTGGCACGTTTTAAACTGTATACCGTCTCCTTCTGTAGCTAGAACATTAAAAGGAAGCTGGGGCTTATGATCTCCCAAAAGAAAAGGAAGGGAGGCATGAAAACGATGGCTGCGTGGTTTACAACAAATTGCTCTTTGCAGTGGCATCTAAATATGTTGAACGGTGGTTTATAGGAAACATGGTTTCTTAAGATAAAGGTAGTCCTTGACTTAGGATTGGAACCAGGTTTTCCATTGCTAAGCAAAGGTGGTTGTTAAGTGAATTGCACCAATTTTACAATCTTGTTTTGCCACTGTGGTTAAGCAATTGTTAAGTGAATCATAACGGTCATTAAAATGACTCTGGCTTCCCCCGTTGACTTTGCTTCATGGAAGCTGGCTGGGAAGGTCTGAAATGGGGATTACATGGACTGCTGCAACCATCATAAATACTTGCCGGTTGCCGAGGATTTGAATTTTGAATTGTGGGGATGTGCAGTGGTCATAAGTGTAAGTCACTTTTTTCGGTGCCATTGTAATTTTGAACCATTGTTACCCGAATAGCTGTCAATAATCATAGTAGATTATTTTTAAACGTGAGGCAAAAGTAAGATGGAGCCATTGCTGGGAGAAAACAGTGTAATGAAAGGTAAGTTATCCTGCTGCATGTAATCTGGATTGTGGGCTACATCTTAAGATACGGGCAGTATTCCGAAACAAGCCTGAAGTCATATCTGGTGTAGCCTTAAGCAGTTTACTTTTGCTGCTTGCTTTGCTTATTCTGATGTTCTGTTTTGATTGCACTCCTGATGTTTCTCTCTGGTTTCATTGCTTGCTGGAATTATGGATTTATTTTTAGATTTGATTGGTTTTACTGTGGATCCTTTTTAATTTGTTTTGCAAATTGGGAGCTGTTAAATTTGAAGGACAGTCAGGACTTTGCTTAATAAATAAATATAATACAAAGTATTGAACACATAGCATTCTGCACTTGCTACCTATTGCTACCATGCATCATATCAACGTGCTGCAGTGGTTAAAGACCATCTTCACTGGATGGAGTTTTTCCTGTTGTACAGTGTCTTTAAAAATTTGAACTCAGAATCCCTTAGGAAAACAGGATACAGCAAGGCCTGCCAAGATTTTAGGCTACATCTTCCACAATTGATCATGTTTTCTGGGATTGACAACATCTAGGGAACAGTCAGTTGCCAGCTCAGGAATATCATAATGAGTCCTTCATAATACCAATATGTTGGGTCAGAACCTCTGGCATTTTTAGGAGAAGCAAAGTGGGATCACTGACATCCAAGGCAAACCATAACAATGCCAAAATTACATACGCAACATGACGTCATCGTGCAAATGCTTCTATTATGTAATGATATCCTGATGTTTGATGCAAATACTCAATTCATAGCATTTGTATAATGATTTTGTTATGGACACATTATCGTTCTCCACTCAGCAGAGATCCTTGAAGAAGATCCCAACTTCTTGGGCTAAGTCAAATCTCATCAAATCCTTGCTGAGAAGATGATGACATGAGTGCAAAATGTCACTAATGCAGCAGTATGCATGCAGCTTCCAGGCCCAGCAAATGACACCTTTTTCCTCGTTGTCTGAAAACAGCTCCAGAGTCTCCGGAAGGAAGCAGGTGCCAACGCTCTTCTTGCAATTGCCAGCCATAATTGAAAAGGAGAGATACATATAGTGAAAAAGAGAAGCTCTCTGCTGTCTTTTTGAGAAGCAGCTTATTAATTCAGATGCACCATGGGAGGGTAAATGCAAGGTGCAAAGCAGCATGTACAAGTGGTGGGGGCGTTACAGAAGCCCACTGTGGAATTAATTATCATTGCTGTTGGAAACAATCCAAAGCCCAAGGCTTCTCCCTGGAGAAGAAGCAGATAGAGAAAAAAAAACATAAAGAGAGGCAGAGAGCTCTTGATTCTGAACACAATAAATACTGTGGAAAGAAGTTCACAAAAGAGGGCTTTGCTATGTAAAATTATCAAATTTAAACACAAAAGATCAGGTGTAAAAATGAGCTGTACAAGCATTAAGACCTGATGGGGCTAAGAACATATATTTTTATTAAGGGATTTGTTTCTGAGCTTTTTGGAAGCGTGCTCAAGATACATTGTCTTTTTGCTCACCTAAGATTTGCAGGTGAGCTGCAGCACATGGTCTCCAAGCAGTTTCCTCTAAAATGTAGAAGTCCCCTTCATCAAGAATTGGTTTTCCTGAAGTACTTCAGAATGTAATAATTAGTTCAGATCTCCTGACTATTTCACACCCTCATCAATGCAAGGTAGAGCTTTCCTTCCAGTAGTGCCTAAGCATGCCCCACACATCTTTGGGAAGAGGTTCCAAATGTTCTGGACTCTCCAGTCCTCAAATTATTATTGAGCTTTAGTTCCAACATAATTAATTGGCAGCCAGGTAGAAATGACTAGTAAAAATGAAGGAGGAATACAGGAAGGAGGAATACATTTGGTGAGCAATATGGCACATGTGTAGGATGGATGCATGGTTATATTTTGGAACTGCAGCATCACCAGATGGTTCCTCTTTGTAGATTATTCTCATAATCCAAATCCTTTTGAGGACCAAAGCTGGGTTCTTCAGGTAGCTACTGAAACTAAAGAGGCAACTGGACTTTCTTGTTTTTCTTTAAAAGAATGCAAATGACAGCTGTCTGCAAGGAATATAAATCCATCCAGTTAGAGCTGAAGAAGCTTCTTGGATAAGAAGCGAAACATCTTCAAAGAAAAAACAAAGTCCAGTTCCCTCCTGAAAAAGCACCTTTGGGACAACCATGACCTGGATGACTGAGAATCTCCATAGACATTTACTGAAACTAAACTGTCCATTCTGTTATTTTGCAAACTGTGTTCTGGTAGCAGCACAGTTTGCAAAATAATAACAATTATCCATGCAACAGTTTTGGGCATTATTATTAAAATAGTTCAGTTCAGATACAGAGTACCTCATTGAAGTTGATCTTCTGAAGCACTGATGCTTTTTCTGTGTCCTAAAACTTTCTTCCTAACACTTCTAAATTACTGGATAAAATCAGTATTTTTGTTTTTTTTCTCCACCTTTCCACTAAAATTCCAGCTAGTGCTCCTGAGGGCTGTAAGTTAGGAAGAATTTATATGCCTTGAGTCATTCAGTTATATACTGGAAATCTTGGTAACAATGATCATAAAATCTATTGCAGACATTCTTTTTCTCTCCCTTTTCAGCTTTCATTACCAATGGCTTTAAAACTAAAGATCCTCAACTTGAGGTGATCAAGCTACCTGCAGCTTTCAAACATTTTGGCTGTGCCCCCCCCCCCACAGAATCTCTAAAGATTTTTATATGGCCAAATATAATATACCTATGTATGTATAGCAATATATTTGAATAATGATTTTAGTCAAATAGGCAAATGAACATATATCAAATGAAAGTTAGTTTTTGTTAGCTCATGGATAATCTTATGGAGTGTCACCCCCAAGTTACCCACTTCTAGGAATACAATACAATACAATACAATACAATACAATACAATCAATACAATACAATACAATACAATACAATACAATACAATGACTTGATTTATGGTCAAGTCATCCTGCTCTAAGCTGAAAATAACTATACCAGTCAATGCTATACACTGATCTCAGCAACTGAAGACAATATTCATTTGTTACATTAAAAAAAAATCTACCCAGTGATGGATATATCTTAGTGCAGGGGTAGGCAACCTTGACTCTTTTATGACTCATGGACTTCAACTCCCAGAATTCCTGAGCCAGCATG